AGTGATTAGATAGACCTAACTCATTAACACTGATAAAATGCCAAGCTGTAGTTGAAGAAACAGGGGGGACACGGCGGAAATCAGCAATAGTCTGGCAGTCAAGTAATTGGTAGAGCTCTTGACTTAATTTAGTCCATATTAAAATTTTAATCTTTTGTATGTATTAAAATATTTTAAGACTCAGTTGTGACCAACAAATATTTAACTTGTAAATATTAAATTGTAACAATTTACTAATATTATTTTTTCAGAAAAAAAAATCTGACTGACGTTGCAGTAAGGTTTGAGGATCAGATGAGGTTCTGGACAACACAAGGACAGACTTCTCCAAATCTAATTATTAATGGTGTTATTGAATTCAACCAGATGTTTCACATGGATAAAATTAAGTACATGAATAAATCAAGATCCGAACGCGTGCTTAGATTTGACAGAAGATAAGGAAAGGTGAAACAAAAAGTAATGAAGACAGCTAATGAAAAACTATATATCCCTGGTTGTTAATATAACCTGAAATTAAAAATTCAAAATGTAATAGGCCTGTAAAACCATCACTCTGCTGACAGACAAATGAGCAGGATGTTTCTCCCATCACATTGCCTACTAGCTTCTACCTGTCCAAGTTTTAGCCAGCGTGAGCAGTTAACCTTTTACAGCTTCCCAAAGGCAATTACTTAAGAGCTAAACATACTCTTAAGTGTACAAAATGTAGGTAATGAGCCACATTCCTATTAACAATGTGAGAACTTCACGTATTATCCTAATAGATAATCCTTTATTGAAATGATGTGAAAGGTAACGTGCGTGATCTAAAATATGTATACACTTGCCCTCTCACAACTTTTAAAATTGCAAGATTGTTTGCATCTAATCAGCTGTGAATCAGACACCAAACAAAAAAGAAAACCCACCCTAATATTTTAAGAAAAGAAGGAAGACATTAACACAAGAAACTATTTATAAGCAGCAAAAAATATTAAAGGAACATTTTAGCCGTAAGTGAAGTTGTTCCTACAAAAGCATTACAGCTCTGGAAACAGGAATTTGTACTTAAACACCAACCTCAGCCGCTAATTACAATTATACTTCTATAATAATTAATCTAAATAAAGTAAAGAATTAATTCGAAGTGCCTCTCGTGTATTGCTGTTGTAGTACGTTTACCTGGCAACACAGCCTGAGATGACGGCTGGCTTTGGATAAAGGTGGCGTAGAGAAAAATGCCGAGCATGCAGTATGCACTCCCTCTACTGGGCACTGGAATTATCCTGGGTAGGCATTCGGAGAAAGGGGGATGTCCGAGCATCCAGGTATTATGATATAAGATCCCTTTTACAACTTCTGCC